GCCCGCCACAACGCCTGGCCATTTTTTGGTTGCAGCCATCATTGTTGTTGGCGGGCCCAGGCTGGGGATTCGAACTCGCCACTTTAGGTGTATGTGGCTGGCGCCTTAGCTGCTTGAGCCACAGGTGCTGAGCCCATCTTTTTTTTCTTAAAGAGATGGAGTCTCACCCTGTTGCCTAGGCTGGTCCTGAACGCCTGGATTCAAATAATCCTTCTGTTTCAGCCTGCCTAGTAGCTGGGACTATAGACATGTTCCACTGTGCCCAGCTGGGTCTTGATCTTTGTCACAAATTATTTTCTTTTAATTTTGATAAAATATATAGCATAAAATTTAACATTGTAACCATTTTAAATTGTATATTTCTGCAGTATTAAGTGTATTCACATTGTTATGCAACCATCACTGTTATTCACCTCTAGAACTTTTTCATTTTCTACAATTTTTTTTTTTTTATTTCCAAGTTACTTAACCTTTCTATAGTAAGTGCTTTTATATATGTGGTGCAGATTAATTGAGTTATTGCATATAAAGTGCTCAAACAATGCCTGGCACATGGTAGGAACTCAACAAGTGCTAGCTGCTTCCTACAAGCTCGGTGAGGAAGGAGGCTAACGGGGTGAAGATTTGAAGGGCTGGCAAGAGGAAGTGGAGGCAGTGGGGGATGGATGGCAGGCTTCTTTTCTTGCAATTTATTTTTGGTTTCATCTGTTCCTTATTCAATTCAAAGTTTTTGTGTGTGTGTGTGTTTACATACATGCCATGCATACGCAGTAGAACTGAAAAATCATAATATGAAATTTAATACAGCTGAGTATTTAGAATCATAAAGTTTTATAAAAGGTTTAAAATACAATATTAATACAAATTTCCCTTCACTATGAGATTCAGTCTCTAATAAGTTATTTTAATTTTGTCTGACAGGATTTGAATTTTTCGAAGAGCTGCCAACACCCAAGTTCACCTTCGGAGGCAGATCCGGAAATAGTGTAGCAGCACTGGTTTTCCAGAAAACGTGAGACTTTTCCTTGGACAAATTGAGATAGCTTTTTAAAGAAGCTACACAACAAAGTTAAGCTGACACAGAAAATGCAAGTGCAAATAAATGCTTAGTAAGTACACAGGACGCATGTGTTGAGTAGATATGATGAGTTGGTAAAAAAAAAATCATAAACATGTAAGTGGTAGGGTTTTCAAGATCAACCAAGAATAATTTTTAATTTTTTTTGTATTTGAAATGTAAATGTTTTTTTCTTTGATTAAAAAAATTTCCTGTAATTACTGAACAGTCAAAGTTTAAAGTAGTAAACAAATTTATAGAAAGCATGTATTCTTCACTTTTGTGTATTGGTAAAGTTGAATCAAATATAGTTATTTATGAAAATTTGGCCAGACTATTTCAGCACTAGAATAATAAGCAAAACAACTTCCTTAGTGTTACACTTGGTATTAGACCATTTATGAAATATAAAGAGAAATACTGTTTGGGGTTGAATGGTGGTTATTTTTAAAAGCATTTGATACCTGACAAAAGGGCTCTGGCCTTTACCGTGTATGTAATTAAACAAAAATCAGAGAAATGTGTCAATGGATGAAGAAATTTATTAAGCCTGTTTTGTAGCTGATGGTCTTATATACCCCATGAGTGATAGCAGGTAGAAGGAAAGAGAACCAAGGGACATTATTATATGCTAGCACTATGTTAAGTTATCTTATTAAATCATTGAATCCTTCCAATATCTTCTTGAAACAAAAATATTACAGTTAGTACGGGATGGAGTAGGATTTTTGTCTGGGTCTGTCTGATCTGAAAACACTTCTCTGCTGGTGTATTCTGCCTCTTAGGTGCTAGTCTCTGCCTTTTTTTTGGAGACAGAGTCTCACTATGTCACCCTTGGTAGGTGCTGTGGTGTCACAGCTCACAGCAACTTTAAACTCTTGTTGGGCTTAAGCAGTTTTCTTGCCTCAGCCTTCCAAGTCGCTAATCTCTGCCTTTATAGCATTTGCAACTCACTTAGGGAACTAGGACTGGTACATATAAAATTCAGTTAAAGAAGTTGGGCAGTGGCTCAGCGCCTATAGCTCAACTGGCTAAGGCGCCAGCCACGTACACCTAAGGTGGTGGGTTCGAATCCCCAGCCCGGACCCGCCAAACAACAATGACGGCTGCAACCAAAAAATAGCCGGGCGTTGTGGCGGGCGCCTGCGGTCCCAGCTACTTGGGAGGCGGAGGCAGGAGACTCGCTTGAGCCCAGGAGTTGGAGGTTGCTGTGAGCTGTAATGCCACGGCACTCTACCCAGGGGGACAGCTTGAGGCTCTGTCTCAAACAAAAAAAAAAAAAAAAAGAAGTTGGGCAGTTATTTGTAGGAGCTATGCAGGGCCTTGTTAGTGTTGATCTCTGGACTGTAATCAGCCAACTCAGTCTCCTGTCATCTGCCATTACTTTTTACCATCTCCCTTTTTGTGTTAAAAGATTTGTCTCTATCAAGAAGTAAATTTTGTCATTCTTTTGGCACAAAGGGTGGTATAAGTTATATAACCCCTCAGGGATATATGGATACTGATGTTCTAGTTAGAGGCTAAATTAGCAAGAGAAACAGTTCATTAATGTTTTTGTGAAGATATGGTATATTAATGCTACCACTTTGTGTTTGGGGTGATATTTTCAAGTTGTAGTTGATATGAAATTTTGAAAAGTTACATAATTTTTTATTATTTTTAGCTTTTTGGGCCTATGGGGTTACAAAAGCAACTATTTTTATTTGGCAGATGTTATTCCATTACTGAGTAAATCTAGCATTACATCTTTTTTCTTTTTTTGGTGTGGGTGAGGGGTTTGGGGAGGGCGATACATGTCTTTCATTCAGACAAATGTAGATTGACCATTAAAGTTACTAATTGCCTTACAGAAAATAGTCAAAGACATTTACATGGACTTTCAACAAAAATAGGATTTTTGCAAGAGCTTTAATTTTCTTTTTTTTTTTTCAGAAAGAGTCTTAAGCTGTCACCCTGGCATCACAGCTCACAGCAACCTCCAACTCTTGGGCTTAAGCTATTCTCTTGTATCAGCCTCCCAAGTAGCTGGGACTACAGGTGCCTGCCACAGTACACAATGCCCGGCTATTTTTTTGTTGCTGTTGCAGTTGTCATTGTTGCTTAGCAGGCCCAGGCCAGGTTCAAGCCTGCCACCCTAGGTATATGTGGCTGGTGCCCTACCGACTGAGCCACAAGCGCTGCCCCAAGAGCTTTAATTTTCAACCCATAAAAAGTGAGAAATTCCTTTGAAATACATGCAATTTAAATATTTTACAAAAATATATTTTTTTTGTTTGCTTTTGGCCAGGGCTGGGTTTGAACCCACCACCTCCAGCACATGGGGCCAGCATCCTACTCCTTTGAGCCATAAGTGCTGCCCTACAAAAATATGTTTTTATGAGACATGAGGTCTTTTTTTTTTTTTTTTGAGAAAGAGTCTTGCTAGTTGCCCTCAGTAGAGTACTGTGGCATCACAGCTCACAGCAACCTCAAACTCTTGGGCTTAAGCAATCCTCTTGCCTTAGCCTCCCAGGTAGCTGAGACTAAAGGCTCCTGCTACAACACTCAGCTATTTTTTTGTTGTAGTTGTCATTGTTGTTTGGCAGGGTTGGGGTGGGTTTGGACCTGCCAGCCTTGGTGTATGTGGCCAGCGTCTTAACTGCTGAGCTATTGGTGCTGAGGGGAGACGTGAGGTCTTTTTTTTTTTTTTTTTTTTTTTTTGAGACGGAGCCTCAAGCTGTCCCCCTGGGTAGAGTGCCATGGCATCACACTCACAGCAACCTCCAACCCCTGGGCTCAAGCGAGTCTCCTGCCTTAGCCTCCCAAGTAGCTGGGACCACAGGCGCCCGCCACAACGCCCAGCCATTTTTTGGTTGCAGCCATCATTGTTGTTTGGCAGGCCCGGGCTGGGGATGAGACATGAGGTCTTAAGTTGTAGAAATAAGAAGTTTTATAATTTATTGAGGAGATTTGGTCTTTGTTGCTTTTTTCACATTGATGTTCTTTGATTTCAAATATAATGGTAATAAATACTCTTAGAATTTTAAGTTAAGTATATGCTTAAAGAAGCAATCCAAAGGCCAGGCACAGTGGCTCTTAATCCTCGCACTCTGGGAAGCCAAGGTATGTGGATTGTTTCAGCTCAAGAGTTTAAGACCAGCCTAAGCAAGAGTGAGACCTTGTCTCTAAAAACGAGCCAGGCATTGTGGCGGGTGCCTGTAGTCCCAGCTACTTGGGAGGCTGAGGCAAGCGGATCACGTTGGCCCAAGAGTTTGAGGTGGTTGTGAGCTATGAAGCCCCAGCACTCTACCAATAGCGACAAAGTGAGACTCTGTCTCAAAAATAAAAACAAAAACAAACCCTAATCCAACAAAATAGGCTTTCAGTGTGACTAGATTGACATACTGAGTTTGATTAACAGAAAGCTTGGAATGGGTCTTTGTTACAAAGCTTTTTGAGTCATTATGTGGGGCATGCTTGTTCCATTTGCAAAGGTGAAAGGGGAAATCTGTGTGTGTCTGTGTGTTTGTGTTCACGAGCAAACATGGAGATGTTGAGAAGGTTAGGAAAAGGAAATCGTCTCTTCTTACCACTTTAATCCTGCTGGAAACCGTCCCCTTAGAGATTAAAACCAGAACAAATGGAAGTCCAGAAATGCCAACAAGAAATTAGTATTTTGAAATAATACTGAACTGCTTAAAAACTGGGCCAGAAAATGTCCCCGAGTTACTGAAACAGTCATAAATACATTATTATTGGACTTAGTAATATCAAATCATACAAGTATGTGGGTAACTGAAAGAAATTACGCAGTTATAAAAAGGAGCAGTAAGCTATGTAAGTGAATACTGTTTTCTGTGGATAAGAAGTGGAATTGTAATCTCACTTCATCAAAAGACACTTATTTTGGCTCGGTGCCTATAGCTCAACCGGCTAAGGCGCCAGCCACGTACACCTAAGGTGGCGGGTTTGAATCCCCAGCCCGGACCTGCCAAACAACAATGACGGCTGCAACCAAAAAATAGCCGGGCGTTGTGGCGGGCGCCTGTGGTCCCAGCTACTTGGGAGGCGGAGGCAGGAGACTCGCTTGAGCCCAGGAGTTGGAGGTTGCTGTGAGCTGTAATGCCACGGCACTCTGCCCAGGGGGACAGCTTAAGGCTCTGTCTAAAAAAAAAAAAAAAAAAAAGACACTTATTTTGAAGAAACTTGTTTGAAATGCAAACGAGATTTCTCCTTGGGGCCTGCATAGAATTGTTGCTTTTCACTATGATGTTATTGCTGCCTAACAGGCCACTTCTGTGTGTAGGAAGTATGTATGCAAGTCCAAAGGGAACTGAGGCCTGAATGGGCTGCTTACACCAATTAACAAATAGAAGGTTTTTAGAAAAGCCAGGTGCACAAGTTAGAGTTGCTTTTGGGGACTGGCATTTATGTATATGAGAATCAAACCCAGCATCACTCTTGGCAGCTTGACTAAAGCCATTTTAAAATAAGTACAGATTATCCTTGAATGATTTTTTTCCCTATTGTAGTAGCAAGGAGTTTGCCTTTCTTTTTCATCTATGATATGCATGCAGTCTTCTGTTTATTTTGAGGAAATAAGGGAGTGAAGATATATACAAGACTTTTAATCATTTTATGAATAACGTACTTGATTTACTTATTTTTAAATTCCTATGATTCTGTAATGTTGTATTGTATGTTGATTTCAATTAACATTTATCCAGAGTATAATAGAAAACTTAATTTTTGAGGACCCAACATTAGTAATTAAATTCATGTGGCCTTGAATTAATTTTCTTCAGATTGGTGTACAAAGAAATAGAGTATCCCTGCCAATGTGAATAGACTTTAATTTACGTTCTTCTAAATAATTTTATTTTACGTATTTGTGTGTGGATGTGTGGTTGTCTCTTTATCTGGTGCCCTACGATGAAAATCTGTACAAATGTGAGCAGTTCGTCTCCAGGGAAGAGCCCTGGGGTTTGATTTCCTGTTTTTGGCTCTGTGAGCTAGAATGTATGTGCTCCAGAAACAGCCCTCTGCGTTTAGAGCAAGAAACCAAGTATCTTGTGTGCCA